TAGATAGATAGATAGATAGATAGATAGATAGATAGATAGATAGATAGATAGATAGATAGATAGATAGATAGATAGATAGATAGATAATTTATTTAGTTGCTTACTGAACCACATATAAACACTTTACAAGGGCTAAAACTTGTGTGCAGTAATAAAAAGAATTGTATGATAAAAATATGTGTGGGATTAACTTCTAGGAGTGAACAGAATATATTATAAACTGTGAAACTGACCTATAGACAGTAATTTTGAACCCACACAAACAATGATATGTTCAAGATCCTGAGTTGATGTCCTGTTGTAAGTTATTTTAAAGTTCAGTCATTTCTTTAGTCGATCATGAGGTAAAATTGAACTGATTGCAGTGTCAGCCTTGACAGAAAACCAGCGCTGCTGGTGTGTTCGTGTGTCTACTTGAGTATCCAAGAGGCAAGAGGGCCAAGGGAACAAGTGTGGAAAGAACGTAAGCAGTGCTGCTTATTACCTTCCCTATTACCTTCACTGGCAATGCTGTCATGTTATGTGTTGATCATATTATATGTTTTATTTCCGCTGTCTCTCTGTCTTTTAGCGGCCAGTATTGCTTCACAGTATGTGTAAAAGCCTTTGGCCCGCTGACGAGGAACTACTACGTCAGAGCGTTTTTACATGCAGCGTGAGTTTATTTGGCCTTTACGTATAAAGTGACTCTACTTAGAGGATTTGTGCTATACAATACACCTGGACTGGTTGGATCAGCTTGCTCAGTTTTGCAAAACAACATTCTTCTTTTCCACTTTATACCCCTACAACAAAAGACTTATCATAACATTGGCTTTTGTCTTGTTTTTTTTTTTTGTTGTTTGTTTTTTTTTACCTTCTCAGTATCTGTGTTCCTGGAGGTTTTATGCTTGCAACGGTCCTTGGATGCGTCTGCCTCGGCATCGCCAGCCTCATCTACCTTGCAGTAAGTTGATTGCTTTATTAGCAGGTTTAAAATAATGCACTTTAAGAAAGGAAGTACAGAAACAAGAAAACTGTAACAAGGAAGTAATTGTTTCACAGCCCTTCCACTGTTGAGAAATGGCCTCAGAGTTATGAAACCAGACAGGTTATTGGTGTTGCTAAACTGTTCCATAGCTCTAAAAAGTAAAACTTAAAACGGAGAGTGTAGCATATGCAGTTATTTCATAGATCCGTACTCAATTACACATAAACAAACAACCAGCGGACCGCTTTTATCGCTTTAAGTAACTGGACAGGTGCTCAGCAGCCACTTCACTGACTATGTCTCGTTTTCCAGGCAGCTATTCGAGGTGAGCATTGGGAGCCCATTCTTCCACGGAAGGAAGTACGAAAGCCTGTTGGAGAGAGCATCAAAAATCCTCCACAGAATCCTCCGCCGAGACCTCCTCCAGAGATGCGAAGGAAACAAGCAAAGGATCTGGAATCAGCAGCCTATGATAACCCCATCTCTGTTACTGCAGATGAGTAACCAGTCCAGGGCTTTGTCCTTATTGGTCCCCTTCAAATAAATTATACATTCACTGCAAAAGTTCTGTGGATCGAAGGAGAAAAAGGTTTTTTGAAGTTTGCTGATGCCACAAAGTAATATATAAATAGGCTATTTACGATGAGATAGAAAATAGTATCCTTTACATCTGAGGATACGGATATTATGATTTGTGAGGAAATAAAAAATATTTCTTTAACTTTTAAGGAGCCAAAATGCTGCAGAGGGAAAGTGTAACTCTTTAGTTGCAGGACTGTAACCAAGAACAACTACTGTCACTTTAAAGTGCTGTTTGGTGGCGCATACCGGTCTAATGAAGAAACAGTCACAGCCTACAGCTGCTTTCTGTTGAAGTTATTTTAGTTTGTTACCATGAATATATTTGGAAAAAGATAAACTGTGTTCTTAAACTGTAATTATTATGTTTCTTTTTGAAGTCCTTGCATTATAGATGTTTACAGTTTTACGGTACTGTTTATCCCTTTAGACAAAAACTGGATAAAATTGAAGCCCTCCTGCTGATATTAGCTCATTTATTACGCATTTTTTGTCATTGGTTATAGTTTTATTCTGTGTAAATAAACTTTTTGCTTGTTTAATTACTAGTTGTCGATCCCTTTTTTTGTTCTTCCTTGAAATATATATCTTTTTTGAAATGACATTTGCAACTTCCTCCTTTCGCAACAAATGACTGTTAGTGTCACTGAATTTCCTTTTTTGTGAAAAGGACTTTTTTACATTTCTTTTATGATTCTTTGTTTTCAGGGAAGCAACATATCTAGTTAGAGAGTGGCTTGTAAGCCAAGTTTTCAACAATGATATCATTTCATAAATCATGTTTTTTTTTCTGTTGTTTCCTGTTAGCGGTCAAATCTTATCTCTGAAGGAGATAAAAGCTATTTAGAAACCTCAACCTGAACTGGTGGTTCCTTATGTCAGTCAATCTGGTCATTTGTAGTTTATCTAAAAAATGTCTCCTAGTGATTTGTTTTTATTTTTTTTTTTGTAATTTCCTTAATGTGAAAAAAAATTTTAACAGGTAAACTTGGTCAGATTTATAGCATAGAGGTAGTTCATTTCTGGAGTTAAATTTCCCAAAGAGTTCTTGGAGTGTCTGCTTTATGCCTGCAAACACAATGCTGGTAAAAGCTCTGAATCACCCTGGTGGAAATTTAACAGAAGAAAGAGTTGTGATGTTTATTACTTTTTCTACTGGATGAATTATTCCAGGTGCGCTGACCTCAGTAACCATGGCCTGACAAACCTGGATTAATCACCTCATAGAGTATTGAAAGACAGTAAATAAAAGAGCTGCCTTAAGTTCAGGAAGTAGTGTAGTTGTGCATAGAGCCAATAGTTTTTTGTTTTTTTTCTTTATGTGACATCATTTTATAAAAAAAAATCAGTTCTTGACTGGCTAATAGACACAAGTTAAGATTTTTAAGGAAATTCTCTTGGAGTAACCCCAAAACTCCTTTGTCTTATTGTGACGGAAAACCCTGTGAACAGAACTGAACTGAGATTACTTTTCCACTTTAGATTAACTGCAACACCATGTTAAAAAAAGTAAAGGGTATATAAAACCTGTGATAAAAGATGCAAAACCTCTTGATCACAGAACTACAATAAAGAGGTCTCCACCAACAGAGCTTCATGTGCATACAGAAATGGGGAGCTCTTGAAGACCAGTTACATGATAAAAACAATTATCCACATTAGTCTGTGACATAGGGAGAGACTGCAGATCTGTCAAGACCCCCTGCTTAACATACAGTAGGCTGTTACAAGCCAGAGTCATGGAGAAAAAAAAAGGATAATTTGCTGTAGGATATGACTGCAAATATGGGTGAAGGCCTGGGATCTAATGATGGATCGAGTTACAGTTTGAAAGGTTTGGGGCAAATTAATAAGTCTCCTTCCACTCTAACAACCTGAGATACAGCAGCAGATCTGTTCACCCTTTATAGGGCACTCAGTGAAATACTTTGAAAATCCGAATTTCAAGCCAACAGTGTTATTGGCATCCAGGACAAGACCTTATTACCTTGTAACATTAAAAGAAATATGGATATTTTGATGGTAAAAAAATAATGTCAATGTAATAACAACAAATGCCAATTTGCCCCAATTTATTAAGAAAAATAACAAAAGTGCTTCTATAAGAAATTCATGAAAAACACTCTTTATTTGGTCCAACATAACCTTAGAGGCATTAATGCTGATACTGGAACTATAATTTTTTAGTTTGTAAACCTAAATATAATTCTTAACTCAGCTTATTAACTTTTTAACTTACTTTTCAAGTAGCTTTTTACCTTTTTTTCTTAACTTTTTAACTTTTTTTTAACTTAATTTCCAGTAGGTAATATATCATTCAAGGGCTCCTCTAATTGGTCAAATTCCTAAATAAGATGTACAGCCATGTAGCAGTATCTATGTGGAATGGCTGGATATAGATCTTGTGCTTCTAGATCTCACTGAGGGACAGGGGGGGCCTCAATTTGTAAGGGGTATGCAAGTGATCAAAAACGGTAACTTGCCCTATAAAGGGTTTTGCTAAACAAAAAAACAGATCTAAATTAAAAAGAGACATACAGCCTGATATGGGAAAACAGAAATAGCATTAAAAAAGGGGTTATATTCATCCTATACCAGGGAGGAATACAATATAATCTCTGCAGAAGGGAAAGCAAATACTGGAATCTAGACAGATCAGAAAAATTGAGTACAGGAACTGTGATGGACACCAAAAAAATAGCCTCAAAGTCATCTGTAAAAGTCCCATACCAGTAAGATAGGAAAGCCTTAGATGTCCCACAGGAAATTACAGCTATGTGTTGGAACAGCAGTAGATCTGAAAGTTTATTTACCAGACACTAAGCACACACACAATTAAAAGAATCCCTTGTTAGAGAAGCTCTGTTAATTCATTTGGCCTTAAAAACATTGTCTCAATTGAAATTAATAAATAAAATGGCATAGGTGCTGTGGGACCACCTGTAGAGGAACTGTTTTTCGCTATAAATGCTCCACCTACAATTACCCAGGCTAAAAATGTGGTAGAGGATTTTACGAAGCCTGAAGGCCAAGGTAGTATGAGCTGATCCTGAATGACTCAGAGACAACAAAGAAATAGGCTGAGGCAAATTTCAGAAAAGGGAAGTTTACTCATTTTAAAAAGGTTTGTGGAAGAGTTCTTAAAAATATATTAATGTAATAAAAGAAACTTGGCTGCTCAGTGGTGCAGTGGGTAGCACTGCTGCCTTGCAGCAAGAAGGTTCTTGGTTTGATTCCCGGCCCGGGGTCTTTCTGCCTAGAGTTTGCTTGTTCTCCCTGAGCATGCATGGGTTCTCTCTGGGTACTCTGGCTTCCTCCCACAGTCCAAAAACATGACTGTCAGGTTAATTGGCTTCTCTAAAAGTCCTCTGTTGTGTGAATGGTTGTTTGTCTCTGTAGTGCCCTGCGATGGACTGGTGACCTGTCCAGGATCCTGCCTGTTGACAGCTGGAGATGGCACCAGCACCCCTCGCGACCCCACTTGGGATAAGTGTGTTTGAAAATGGATGGATGGATAATAAAAGGGACTGTGCACTGCCACCAGTCACAACATTAAATGTAGCATACGTGTATACCTGAGCTGTCTAGAACTGACAGTGAGGTGTGTTGCATAGGAATCTTACAGTAGCTGAACACAGCTGTAAAATCCCTGAAGGGAAATGGAGGAGAGTTCAAAACTCGCCTAAAATAAATAATTAGGATCTTTTGGGTGAGAAATCCCTAAATCTAAATCCTTATGCATGGGCTATTCTTCCACAGAAATATAAAAATACATTAAACACACATTCAGGGTGTCATGGATTAAAATTACAGTCAACACTGATGATGTTCTCCGGACACATGATGATGAGGAGGAACATTTGCGTCACTGAAGAATTGATAAAGGAAAATGACTAAAGCAGGCTTAATTTGAGGAAATGAAAACTGTACAAAACACAGATTAAATTAAGCTTTAACATCACAGAAACAGAAATCTTTACCTGACAGTTAGAAAGTGAAAAGAACTTTGAAATGCATCTGTCTTAAACAGAGTCCAGCAGACCTTGACAAAGGAAACAGGGATAATCCCCCCAGAGTTATCACGTGTTTAAATATTAGAACATTTTACTTGATAAAGGTCATAGGTGAGAAAAATATCTTCTAAAGAAGCTATGTTGGTGTACTGGTCTGGATCCACAGTAACTTTGATGGTGCCCTTGATGTGGGTCATGACTATCCATGTTAAGGCTATTCCTACCTGCCTATTCTAACTAGCAGAATGGAGCAAAGCAGAGAGGGGCAAGCACAGAGGCAGCTCAACAAGACAATCAAAAAGACAGGATTTGTGTCCAACTATTGACTCAAAGTCTCTGCAGAGTGAATAAGCTGAATATTTTAATCAATTCGCATAGAAGGAGGATGAGGAAGTCAGTTTTATGGGAAATGGAGAACATCTCCTGAAGAGGGCAGCAGAGAAACAAGTCCAAATATGATGAAACACAGACATTGGTTTGTTTAGTATGGACTGAAAAAGGCAGTTCGAAACTGAAGCCCAGTGAAAAGGTGTTGAAAAGGAGGACCAGGATGCACTCCGATGGCAGAGGGGACTGTCACTTTGGAGGGTCACTAGGAGGGTGTTTAAAAAAAAACATAAAAATGGTCTTAGTCGGGACTGACCCTAACTATTGCCACAACACAGGAGCCGAGGTACTGAAATATATACAGTGGATGGATGTAAAGGTTATGCCTGGATTTCCCTGAACTCAAAACAAACAATGACTTAAAACCAGAAGAAAAGGTTGAGACTAATTTAAAACTTAAAATGCCTGTTAACCACTGGAAGACAACGTAACATGAGTGTAGCATAGCTGAGTGGCTGGATAGTGGGAAAGGAGAAGCCTCTGATAAACATGTTGGCTGAAAGGTATGAGGAAATGTCTGACTTGTTCAGCAGTTTTTGGCTTGCAAGGACTGTTTTTGCAATAAGCTTAAAGAACCTGAAACCAGCCTTTATGGATGGGAAAATATAGAGGCCCGGTACTATGACTTTAACCCCCCTAAGACTACGAGTAATCAGTTAAATTCAGTTTTTTTATACAGCCCCCGTTCACAACTCATGTCATCACAAGGCAATTTGCATAGACAAAGCAGTCAGATTGGTTTAAAGTTTCTGTCAGGGAAAATCAGCTGATTTTATTCAGTTGTCTACTTACAAGTCATGCTATTCTGGATGAGCTTGCAGTGACTATTTTTGCTTGCATTTTGAGTTAACTTCATTCAATCCCTCACACCGAGCATATAGCGACAGTGGAGAGGAAAAACTCCCGTTTAACAGGAAGAAACCTCCATCAGAACCAGGCTCAGTGTGAGCAGCCATCTGTTGAGGCCGACTGGGGTTCAAGAAGATAGAAGCAGACATACGAAAATAAGCAGAGTTGCAAAAGGTAACTGTCAACCAGCACCACAGGCGGCCCTTTCAATTAAACACACAGGCAGGCAGACAAACCTTAAGGTAGTTCTCATGTCAGAGGATGAAGCGAGCACATAGAGT